ACTTATTAATTAGCTCCTCTGACCTACCTTTTCCTACATCATTAGCCCCTACGTGCTCTGTCAGTTGTATCCTCCACATGTGCCCCTGGGTAGCATAATCTAATTATTTCCTCCATATTTACCCTACATACTATCCTGTCCATATGCTTATCAAGATATCACCTATAAATATAACCACCTTAAGTTTATCATCAATATCCTTCTTTGTCCCTTTTGTTTTCCTTCCTTCTAATAGTTCCTCGTCTGTAGAAGCCAAGGGCAAAAATCTGTTACTCAATAGAATAGACTTATTACAATTAAATCTACTACTTTTAGCCCTAATAGTACTCTTTCTAACTTCCTGAAAGTCATTGTTAGCTGATGTATCCCTTGCATGTAAAAGTTTAAGCTCCTCTTGTTTAAGCAAAGTCGAGTTATATCATTTGTACTATATAGCTTCATGTACAAACAATGATATATCATATAAAGGAATTAGTTTTAGAAAGAGAATGATTAAAATATCTAATGTTACATTTCAAATATTTACATTGAGATCTTCTAATCTGCAAGTTGCACTTTTGTTTATAAGAGGGTACATGTTATGATGTATCTTCCAGATTACGGGTAACACTGTTTCATTCAAATCACACACAGCTTCAGTCACTCTCAAGAGTTCCTATGCAGAAAGAAATAACCATACTTAATGAAGCATTTCCATTAAACAACATTTACTTAAATATAGAATGTAGAAATGGCTGTCGTGTTGTTAATGTTTAAATCACTCAGATGCAAATTTGATTTAAATAAAAATATCATAGTTTAAGAATTAAAAAACAAAATGGCCACACTGATTTTTTGTTTTTATAACAATTTTTTTTATCATATTAAGGTTATTTCAAATGGAATAATTCAAGTACAGGGGCAGATTGGGCCACCGGAACACCAGGCAAACTCCCGATGGGCCAGTGCTACTGTACATCTATATATATCTATAAAAAGCATCGTGATTTTTAAGTATTTGCCCGGGCCGTTTTAGGCTCCCAATCCACCTCTGTTCGTGTGCTTAGAAAACTAAATAATAAAATTAAAAAGTAATTCATTTCTCCACCCACCCCCCACCCCCCTTGAGCTACAGTTTAATGTGAAAGCTAATTCTATAAAGGTGACCATGTTTGAAACATAAGTTTATTTAAAGAGCTGGTGAATATACATTCATTTGAAACTGAAACTATTTTTTCAGATTAGAAATAGCTCTTCACTTGAATTAAGTTACATTAAAATGTAGCTCAACATCACATTTTTAATATTTCTGGTTTTGATTCCCAAATACTGTATAATGTCTTAACTTTCTATGAGGCTAAATTTGCACCTTAAACAAAAAATATTCTAAAGTGGTTTCCATAAAGTGTAATTTATTCTCTAATTAAACTTACATCACGTAAAGCCAGCTGTACCTCTGAAAGTTGTGTTATCTGGATTTGAGCAGTTGGGTTGGACAGATATTCAGTTGTATTTGATAATTCATGTACTTCTACCTAACACAGAATAAACCATTTTCAATTAAACAGTTAATTGCCAAAATATGTTAACTGCATTTAAACATATATCTTACTGTATCACTGTCTTAAACAATACAGAAAGTCTGGTATCTGAACATTTAACAAAAAGAGAGACATTCAGTTTTAATTACTAGAGGTAAAACAAAAGAAAAAATAAGTATTATGACAAAAATATTGAAAACCCAAGAAATGTAAGCGGCTGATTAATTTAACAAATTCCTTTGGAATTAAACAGAGACTAACAAAGACTGCATGAAAAAAGAAGCAAGGCATTATATCTGTGAGCTAATTAATCAAAACTTTTTCACCACATCAAAGCTAGATATCTGTATCAAGGTTCATAGTGTTACCACCATAGAGCACTAATAAGAGAGATTCCTACCTCAATATTAGTTACAGCTTGTGTAAGTTCTTCTTGAGAAACCTGAAGAAAAGACTGCTGATTCTTCAAATCTGACACTGTAGTTTCCATAGCTGCAATTTTACTCCCAAAACTGGCCACGTTCTAGTCACAGACAAAAACAACATAGTCCTGCTCATGCTGTGAAAGTTCATTTGTTTAAAACAATAAACATTTATAAGATATTTTTCAGTTAGGCATGAAAGAAGTTAAGAATGTCTATTACATTGGAATGATGTTAAGATCTTAACTCACGTTGATCAATCAAGATATATTTCGTTGCTATTCAGTACGTTTCAAGTTGCATATTGTTTGTAGTTTCATACCTCTGAAAGTGATGAAACATCTTTAGGCAACTCTTTGATCTCTGGTGCTGCCACTATGCTATCTTTTAAGGTTTTGGTTGTTTGTTCGAGTTTTTCTATCTGGAATATCAAAATCAATTTATCCTATAAAACTAGACTTTCAAGAAACATAGATATATCAGACATCATGTAAAACGTGCATTTACACTGTACTGATAACATAAGCAATATTTAAGCATTCTTGTAAAAACTGATAAAAGATAAAACTTATCATAAGATCATGGTAGTTGATGCTGTATTCAATACAGGTAATTATCATAAGAACAAGGCAATTACTTAATAGTATGTGACTAAAATTAGGGTTAATCAATCCTGCTGTTCTAAGAATGCCATGCAACATGAGACACCTTGTATGGTGTTTAGAAATATTGATATATATATATATCTATAATTAATCAATATAAGGAAACATAACTTTTCATCCTGCAGATTAATTGCATAAGATTTGTAATATATTTGATTCTCAAACGTTAGGTGTAAGAGAGTTGTCAATAGGCTACTGGTATTTAATCGCAGGCCACAAATACAGTGATTAAAACTAGTGTAGGAGTTAAGTTTGTTAGGTGCAATGATTGGGTTTTATTTGGGAACTCGGGACTGGAATGTACTTTTAAGGAAGCTAGTAATGAAGATGTGCAATTTGTATGTAGAGTTTGTAGGTTGGAGGAGAAGTTGGAGGCAATCATGATTAAAGTAGAGGCAATAGATAAAGAGAAGTGTAGACTGTGAGAAATGGCAGCAAGATTCATCATTGTTTGTACATGAAGCTATACAGTACAAATGATGTAACTCAACTTTGCTAAACACAGATTTTATGAAGCATTTTCTGTGGAAAGTTATAGAGATTTTAAAAGATTACCATAGTGAATTCAGGATGTTTTTGTGGTGAAATAAATACATTGATTATACATTTAATTAGCTGTACATTATGTTTTGTTTATAGAAATTGCTTTTCTGTCTGTGTTGTTATGTTTGTATCTGGTTTTTGTTACTGTGTTTCTGTCTAGTCTATGTTGCTGTGTTTCTGTCCAGTCTGTGTTGTTATGTTTATATCTGATTTTTGTTACTGTGTTTCTGTCTGGTGTGTGACACTGTGTTTTTGTCTGGTGTGTGACACTGTGTTTCTGTCTTGGTCTGTCTAGTCTATGTTACTGTGTTTCAGTCTGGTCTGTGTTACTGTGTTTCTGTCTGGTGTGTGACACTGTTTTTCTGTCTTGGTCTGTCTAGTCTATGTTACTGTGTTTCAGTCTGGTCTATGTTACTGTGTTTCTGTCTGATCTGTGTTTCTGTTTAGTCTATGTTACTGTGTTTCAGTCTGGTCTATGTTACTGTGTTTCTGTCTGATCTGTGTTTCTGTTTAGTCTATGTTACTGTGTTTCAGTCTGGTCTGTGTTACTGT